TTGCGGTGCGGCGCTATATGCTAGTGCAGTGTCTCCCAAAGTGGGGTCCGCGGCCCCCTGGTGGGCCGCGAGGGTACTGCAGGGGGGCCGCGGGAGGTCATAAAAAAAATAAAAAAAATAATATAATTATTTAATGTTAAATTTATAATGTTTTGTTTGTAATATTAAAATATTTGTGTTCATTATTTGACTTGAATAATCCACTGTAATCATTTTTGTATTACAATGTTTGTAGCAGAGGCTATTTCCCCAAAATAAAATAACCAGAAGAGCCTATTCTTAATGTTGTCTTCTTGGTTATTATTTTGGGGGGCCACGCAGACCCGTCAGATTTTTAAGGGGGCCTCGGTGTTACTGAGTTTGGGAATGGCTGTGCTAGTGCTATTCATTGATTGTTGGACTCACATGTGCCGTGATGAAAACACAGGGGTAAGTCAGTGACACAGGGCCGTTTACATTTGACATAAAGTATAGACACACGTTCTGCAGCGCATTACAGTTTGTAGTACTTATGAGCAGAGATGGGACAACTCAGTTCCCATTGAAACCCATGTAAATCTTGTCTGCATTGGAGTCAAAACATCCTGTGCAGTGTACAGGATATAATATATATATATATATACCACGTATTGTGATTTCTAGCTCGTAGTGAAAAAAAATATTTATTTGAATATCTCGCAAAAAGTAAAATGAACTGAACTTTGAACTAGTTCAGAATTAAAATTGAGAACTTCGAACGTGAACTGTTCACTTTGAGCATGTATGAACTGAACTTGAACTTGTTCAGAAAAGCTGTGAACTGGCACAACACTGGCCAAAGCTTTACTGTCATTGGGCCAGAGCAAAATTAAACAAATGTGACGTCACACGTCGGCTACACAGCCAGGCCAGCCTAGCAGTGCACCCAGTGTAGCTTCCCCGGTTGAAATGAGTGGTCTCTCCAACTGATGGTTCATACACGTTGTTATTTTTCCTTTTATATGAGCTGTAACGATGTGATTTTACCTTACTACTTTTTTAACAATAATTGATTAGCTTGTTATAGTTATACACTAATGAACACTTAGTTCATTGTGTGTGTGTGTGTGTGTGTGTGTCTTTATTCTCACTAAACTCCATAAACGTTACGTTGCTAAGCAACGTACAACAATCTTTAAACGTCCGAGATTATATAAACAGTCAATATAAAAAGAAATAAAGAAAACAAAAGTTTTGACAGTCAATCTTAAAACTATTAAAAGAACATCAAAATACAATGACAAAAACCCAAATTTAGAACCTTGTTTGGCCTGAATGGATGAAAAGCTCCCGGCCTGAAATGTTGTCCCACTCCGGCCCTGCCCAGGACTGAGGCTGTAGATCCAGGACTGAGGCTGTAGACCCAGGACTGAGGCTGTAGATCCAGGACTGAGGCTGTAGACCCAGGACTGAGGCTGTAGACCCAGGACTGAGGCTGTAGATCCAGGACTGAGGCTGTAGACCCAGGACTGAGGCTGTAGACCCAGGACTGAGGCTGTAGACCCAGGACTGAGGCTGTAGACCCAGGACTGAGGCTGTAGACCCAGGACTGAGGCTGTAGATCCAGGACTGAGGCTGTAGACCCAGGACTGAGGCTGTAGACCCAGGACTGAGGCTGTAGATCCAGGACTCAGGCTGTAGACCCAGGACTACGGACTGAGGCTGTAGATCCAGGACTCAGGCTGTAGACCCAGGACTGAGGCTGTAGACCCAGGACTGAGGCTGTAGATCCAGGACTGAGGCTGTAGAACCAGGACTGAGGCTGTAGATCCAGGACTGAGGCTGTAGACCCAGGACTGAGGCTGTAGACCCAGGACTGAGGCTGTAGATCCAGGACTGAGGCTGTAGACCCAGGACTGAGGAGTCAGCCAGGCAGGGAGGGGGTGCACATACACCTTCAAAACTAGAAAAATCCCATTTCAATCTCTTACAATTGTTTCATTGCCACAATCCTTCAAAATAAAATGGGAGATATTGCGTTAGTTTTATAAAAAGTATACCAAGTATTTGACGTATTGTGTGTTTTTTTTTGTACTGTTTTTTGGGGAAATACACAAATCCTCTCAGCATTGACTTACGTGTTATATTGGTCCTTTAGTTACTCCTAAACCAAACTGCAAATGGATTTAGATTAGCCGCAGAGGTAATTCTCCTGGATTATGTATTATATTTTATCACTTTAAAATTCAGACCGTGAGAAACACAAATGTATACTTTATAATAATAATAATAATAATATAGTTTTCTGTAAGTGCTGTGTTCTCAGTGTGTCCAGCAGGGGTCAGCAGAGGTCCACACATCTCCACAGCTCCTCTGGATTCTGTTCAATCCAACATTTTACTTTTGAACCAAATGACAGAGATGCTTTATTGACTAAATGATATCCAGGTTAAAATGAGTCAAAACAAACTTGCTGTATTGAGTAAAGACGTTTTAAAGTCTAAAGTTTAAATACACGTTTTCTCCAGTTGAGATAAAAAAAAAAATACAGGTCTATGTTTGTGTGATGCAGCAAATGGACAGGAAGAGGTCAATAAATTGTAATAAATGCACTTTTTCTATATAAAATTACTACACAACTACTGATAGTGCAATGTGTGACAATGTTATCGGGGTAGAGCTGCTGCTCCTCCGGGTCAAGAGGAGTCAGTTGAGGTGGCTTGGGCATGTGTTTGGGACGCCTCCTTGAACTCGTCTCTCTGGGGAAATGTTTTGGGCATGTCCCACCGGTAGGAAACCAGGAAAAGACCCCGGACACACTGGGACCTGAGCAGAGGAAGCACTTTGAGTTGCCTTGTGTATGACCTGTGTGGTATACAAATAAACTTGCCTTGCCTTGAAATGTAAATCAAGGGGAAGTCTCGGCAACGGGTAAATCAGAAGAAAATGTATGGTTTCCTAACGTTTCTTTTCTTGTTTTGTTAAGCGCTTTGAGTTGCCTTGTAAGAACTGTGCTTTACAATTAAACCTACCTCGCTATAGTCAGATATTGATCATATTTTGTGGCCATGAAAATATTTGTTTTTTGACTCTTTGCATTTTCCATCCACATCAAGTCCCAAAATTCATCCTAAATTACAGCAAGGATTCACCAATGAACCATTTGGCTTTTTCACATACAGTACATATTTAAATAATGAATCCATTTTCCCCACAGGAGCAAAAGTCTCTCTGTTTCTGTGCTTCTCTTCCCGGTCCCGGCGCTCTCTGCTGCAGTCGTGTCAGAGCCGTTCTTTATGCTGCTAATGGACTCCAGGCTGAACCCGGCTCTAATAAATCCCGAGCTGAGGAGCACTGGATCTTATGGAGCTTCTACTTCTCCCCTGAGGAAACTGGACGGCAAAAAATGATATAGATGAATTTGCAGGTAAAGTGAGACCAGAGGAACCTGTGTGTGGACTCTACGGACTGGAACAGAACTGCATGACTCCAGGACACATCTGCCCCCGCAACGGATACTTCAAATTTCAGTTCAATGTATTAGTGTCAATTCCTAAATCACGACAAGAGGCAAACAGCTCAAACATAAATGATAACAAACTCACAGGAGCACATTGGTCCATGGAGTCTAGATATGTTTAATAAATGCCCCGGCTCACCACTGTCCTCAGACCCTCCTGCATCTGCAAGGAACCTAGATGGAGGCAGTAGATCTAGGACTGAGTCTGTAGATCCAGGACTGAGGCTGTAGATCCAGGACTGAGGCTGTAGATCCAGGACTGAGGCTGTAGATCCAGGACTGAGGCTGTGGATCCAGGACTGAGGCTGTGGATCCATGACTGAGGCTGTGGATCCAGGACTGAGACTGTAGATCCAGGACTGAGGCTGTAGATCCAGGACTGAGGCTGTAGATCCAGGACTGAGGCTGTAGATCCAGGACTGAGGCTGTAGATCCAGGACTGAGGCTGTAGATCCAGGACTGAGGCTGTAGGTCGAAGGACAGAGGATTATCTGGGACATTCTTACCCCTTTGGGCACTGGTCCTTTATGCACCTTTTCTGCTGCCCACGAGACCTTTTATCAAATTGTATTTATTGTACCACTCTCAGATATTACTTTACTCATTTTTACTCAGTCAGTTTCACGTCAGACTTATCAAGAAAAAAGCTAGAGGAGAAATGCAACTAGGACCTGGAAATCTGGAAATCTATAATGTCATAGTCCATTCCACTGTAGTGCTGGATTTGGCGCTACTACTGCTTTTACTACTACTACTATTACTACTACTACTACTTTTTTATATCCTAGCCCAGAGTTATCGAGTGAGAAAAAAAGCTATGCCCCACGGTTGACTCTGGCCTGGTCTTATTGCCAGAGAATCCCGTCTCGCTTCCTTGGCCTCTTTAAAAGTGGCCTCACCTGCTAAAAAAACAAAACTCCCTGAGCTCCTTTGAATGGGCTCAGGGATGTGCCCCAGTGCTTCAAGAAATGTGGCCTGTTTTCCTTTGTCAGATCTACCAGGAGGATACCAGGAGGAAACAGGTGGATACCAGGTGGATACCAGGTGGATACAGTCGATTAATGACATATTGTGTGCTTTTGCGTCTTCTTCGATTTGTTTCATCAATTTTTTCCTTCACTAACAGTACTTCTACAACCACTACTACTAGCACTACTACTACAACCACTACTACTAGCACTACTACTACAACCACTACTACTAGCACTACTACTACGACTACTAATACCACACCTACCATTACCACAACTACTACAACCACTACTACTAGCACTACTACTACGACTACTAATACCACACCTACCATTACCACAACTACTACTACTACAAGGCGTAAACAGAAGCGGTCTTTAAAAACACACATTTTTAATAACATACACTTAGGAGCCGTCGGTCAAACAATCGTCAACGACAACTGTGCTCTTCCACACTCACCGTGTCCCCTCCCTCTGCTGGTCCCCAGGGAGCACTGCGTCACCGTGGGCCCACCGGGATGAGGGGGGGGGGTAGGTGATTGGGGCGGATGGAGGTAATTTCGCCCCTGGATGTGAGAGCATCAGAGGCCTCACCTCGCGTTAATAGACAGACATCAAAATGGAGATGAGACGCCGGCCGTAAAAAGCGAGAAGGATTTATGTCCGCCGATGGAGGGAAACTTTATGGACACCAGTGACATTGTGAAGTTGGTAAAGGTTTATGCGTGTTCCCGTGAATTAAAAACCTCCGATATTACTTATTGATCCATTTTTATCCATTAATGCCCCGTCAATCTCTCCCTGCTTTACGTTCTCTGGACTCAAACCAAAATAGTGTCTCGGAGCCCGGGCACTTTTCATAGCGTTTGACCTGATGGCTGGCTATCAAAAAGCCGCTAATAAGGGTGACATAACATTGATTTTTCCGGCGATATTTCAAGTCTCTGGAAAAGTTGGTCTCGTCCCAAAGTTTTTCGCTGATACTGATCTAACGGCCATTTGTTATAGTCCGGGAGGAAAGTGACAAAGTTATGAGCAATTAAAGTCCGCGGAAAGTTGGCATCAAAGAAAAGCAAGACACGGGGAGTTTTAGCCCGACAGTACGATGCAGGTGACTGACTCCAAAGACTTCAAGTTCAGGGGGAATGGGGACTTAAAGTTGGGGTACGTAACTTTAATGTTGGCCTTCATAATGTACTTGATGCTTGGTCCAACAGAAAGAGTCTTGTAACATTTCGTGAAGACTAGGGATTGAACCAAATCAAAGCAGTTTTGTTCCATAGACCGGATGCTAGGAGTGGACTGACTTAGTGTGGATGTAAAAACTGCATCTATGAGCACTTTTCTATCAGGCTTCATTGAGTTAGCGGGTTAGCATTGTCCATCTGTATACAGTTTGTGATTTGTCCCAGTGATCATGTACAACGTGCAAAACAAGAATAACTGAACCGTGGCTTAAACTAGCATTAACAATTACAGTGATAGATAATTAGATAGATAGAAATACTTTTGGTACGGCCATTTTCTAATTTTGAGTCCTGGTCTTTTTAGTTATAGTGATATATTTTTTTTCCAGCTCCATGTAAGAATTTGCTTGTACCTCTATTTTTTTAATATCTTGAGCACTGTGGTCTTTCAAAGCAATACCATGAAAGGACAAAGTGACAAATGACACTAATAGTATTTTTTCTTTAACTGGTTTAAACCCTGGTTTCGTATTACTCCAGGGTTAGAGTTCCCACACCACAGCAAACCTACCATTATTTTAAATCACCACATCAAAATCTGAATTTAACCAGGACTTAAACACGACCAAACCCATTTCAATTCCATTATCTTTGTACAGCACCAAATGCCAAAAGCAGTCATCTCCGGGGACTTTACAACATTTTCGATTGCCAACAACAGATCAGAGAATCCAAACTGCACACACTGGGCCGGTTCCACATGTTGAGAACGGCCGCTGTGGCCCTGAAGTGTTTTATGGAGGTTACAATAGCACAGACAAGTGCACAGGACTAAAAATGAGCCCGAGGACAAAAGTTAATTTGGTAAAAGCCAGGATTAAAATTGCCTAAATAAATCTCCGCCGCGGTTTTATTATTGGAAATGAGGAGAGTTGAAATGTGTCCCGACAGGAGACTGATGCATGGATGCAGTTCTGAGAGCGGACACTAGGGGGCGAGAGTGCGCTGCGGCTGAAACACTGGATACGAAGCACGAGCGCTTTACACGTCTTCAACAATAATGATAATATACAGTAATACTTATGACACTTCTTCTACTACTACTACTACTACTACTACTACTAATATTATCAAGAGTTCTACTACTGCTATACTATTAAAGCATATAATACTAATATTCTACTGCTACTACTATGACAATTATACTACTACTACTATTTCTACTACTATTTCTAATACTAAAAATACTACTACTACTACTATTAGAAAATGTTATACTAATATACTATATACTGCTACTACTTGATGAATATAATACTACTACTACTTATACTACTAATACTACTATTAAGATGATAATTATACTAATACTACCACTAAAATACTACTATTACTACTACTAAAAATATCACTGAAACTTCTACTAATATTAATAATAATACCTGCACTACTACTACTTCTACTACTACTAACAATAATAATAATAATAATAATGGTAGTGAAACCAAACACAACTCATTTATCATCGGTTTGTTCTGTTTACATCGTGAGTGAATAATGCCGTTAAAATAAAAGATTTTTTTCACATTTCAAAATTAAATACAATTAATATTATAATGATATTTGGCTCATTAGACAAAACCCACGATTTAACAGTTCTCACTATCATAACAATTCTAAACTTATGATCCGTGTCTCACTGTCAGCTGCAGCCACATGTTTCAGATGCAGGACGCAGAGGGACATTAGCTGTCACTCAAATAGAAGAGATAGTTTAATGTTTGCTTTGTATGTTCAGGAATAATATATGTTTTCATTTCATCAGTGAGGTTTTAAGTTCACTAATGCCTTCATTCATGCTGACAGTTTTCTTTTTGTTCTTTACTGGAAGCATCGAGAATTAAAGTGAGAAATTTGCATTATACAAACAATTCAAATCAATATTTACATGAAACTCAAACAGATAAGGAATACAAGTATAGTAGGGAGGGGAAGGGGAGGAGGGAGGAGAGGAGGAAGGAGAGGAGGAAGGAGAGGAGGGGGGGAGGGAGGAAGGAGAGGAGGAAGGAGAGGAGGAGGGGGGGAGGAAGGAGAGGAGGAAGGAGAGGAGGAAGGAGAGGAGGAAGGGGGGAGGAAGGAGAGGAGGAAGGAGAGGAGGAGGGGGGGAGGAAGGAGAGGAGGAAGGAGAGGAGGAAGGAGAGGAGGAAGGGGGGAGGACTCTGATCGGAATTAATGCAGACGGTTGTAAAATCCGTCTGTAGTCGTGTGGCCTCGGTCCTCGTTCTACAGTCTGAGTCCTGGATCTACAGCCCTCTACGTGAGCCTCCCCAAGGTTTCTCATTGTCTCCCACTGGGTCTTCAGAGTTGTTCCTCTCCGATGTAGGAGGGTCTAAGGGCAGTGGTGATCCAGGACACTCCACATTCAGTGACATTTATGCACATTTACAGATGTCTCTTCTGGACCAATGGCTCAACGTGTTTTTTACTGTTGCATTTCCTGCGTGTGGACTTTTTGATTCTCGATCTGTGTTGGCGAATTCAACGGTTTTGTAAGATCCTCTGAGATTGTTGAGATTTAGGGCAATGCAAAAAAATATTGAAGTGAATTAAATCATCAGTCATTTTGGGATATATTGGCTGAGTGGATAGCACTCTCGCCTCTCAGCAAGAAGGTCCTGGGTTCGAATCCCGGCCGGACCAGGGCCTTTCTGAGTGGAGTTTGCATGTTCTCCCTGTGTCTGCGTAGGTTTCCTCCGGGTACTCCAGTTTCCCCTACCACTAAAAATATGTACAATAGGTCTGGCATGCGCCTCCTGTTCAGCGACCCCGCTCCCATCTCTGTGTGGAGTGAGAGGACAAGTGCCGATCAGAGAATCAAACAGTTCAAACACAGGAAATGCAATAATTGTGGAGCGGGAAGACCACTGTTCGGGAAATGTCTATAAATGTTCAAAAATGTTCATAAATGTTCATAAATATCTCGGATCATCTCTGTCCTTAGTCCCTCCTGCATCGGCGAGGAACCCCTAAAAAAAGAAAAAGAAATGGAGACTTCTGTGAGAGGCCCTCATTGAGGGAGGGCCCCGCTCTCACGGAGGGAGAGCTGCAGACCTGGGACCAGGATTTAAACTTACAACAGTTATTTCTTTTTATACTGTTTTTACAGATATACATTGCTATTGTATTATTATTATCATCATAATTTTCAACAAGTACTGTTCTGTATCTGTCTATTTTCACTGTATTTTATTATTTATTCATGTGATATGGACACAACAGTTAGATTGAACAAACGCTCTGCCGTTTATGTTATAGCAAGACATGATAACATTTTAAATATTTTCACATTTACAGTGACTTTTAAAAAAAGCTGCCGAGGGACAGAGGATATAAACAGCTGGTTCATTCTAATTTACAGAAATGTTTATGAATGTACAATGTCCTTGTTAAATAAATACATTAATAAAACATGTCGTATTGTAAAAACATTTTGGATTCATACGTAAATCCAGAAATATGACACACCCCACGACACAACTTTGTACTTGCACAGGCCTGAATTAAGTAGAGTAAGAACTCGAGCTGCAGTACAATCAAAATGCTGCAGCTCGAGTCCAAACTAGAACCAGGAAGTACCGTAAAATTAGTCCTGGTCCCAGGTCTCTGCACCGGTCTCTGTGGCTCAGCGACTTTAAGGCAACTCTCCATGACCTGAACCAAAGTACATCACTGACATGTTAGTGTCATATGAACCAAGCAGGACTCTGAGGAGCACAGGGACTGGCCTCCTGCTGGGACTCTGAGGAGCACAGGGACTGGCCTCCTGCTGGGACTCTGAGGAGCACAGGGACTGGCCTCCTGCTGGGACTCTGAGGAGCACAGGGACTGGCCTCCTGCTGGGACTCTGAGGAGCACAGGGACTGGCCTCCTGCTGGGACTCTGAGGAGCACAGGGACTGGCCTCCTGCTGGGACTCTGAGGAGCACAGGGACTGGCCTCCTGCTGGGACTCTGAGGAGCACAGGGACTGGCCTCCTGCTGGGACTCAGAGTCCGAACCGAACATGGGGAGGCAGCATTTCAAAATCTAGAACAGTCTTCCTAAAAATGTGAGACAGGCTTCTTCTCCAACAATGTTCAAAAAAAATAATAATCTGTTTAGCTGTTCATGTAACGGATTGTGCCTTCACTCTTTTAATGTACTGTGATCATTTTTGATGTTAATGCCTTGTGTGACTGGTTCCATCTTGTTTTCTTACTTTGAGTTGCCTTGTGTATGAACCGTGCTATACAAATAACCTTGCCTTTCCTACATGTGTTTTCTCAACCTGACGTTTTAATTTGCAGAGAAACCCATTTATTAGCAGTGCTGTATCTGTAACATGTTTTATGCATCGCTGTCCTCCCCTGAGCTTTTAAATGATCATTATTAAGACAAATACGCCCGGCCGGCTTCCTCCTGGAGGTGAACGTTTCCCGGGCGTTTTGATGAATTTGACTCGATTACTCCGTCACTCTGTACCGCGGACGGAGCAGACTGATGGACGCTGCTGTTGTCCTTGATGGAGCTAATTTAACCGAGGCGTGTGTGTGCGAACAGGGCTGTTTGTTAGTCTCCTATCTGGCAACCCACCCATCCGTTCATGCATTAGGTGTAAAATCCAAGCGTTGGTGAATGATGGAGAGGTTCGTGCCACTGGTGTATGTTTGAAGGCTGTTAAACACACACACTTTATACGCTTTTCTAACTGCCTGAACTCACGACTGCTGAAGTGAGAGAGACCAGAGATATCAAACCTGTTGGTTGTAGGTCTGAGCGCGGCTGCAGCTGTCAAAAGCCGTGCATGCACAGTAAAATACAGCTGCTAAGGAGACTGAGGGGCAGGACTGAGCGCTACGGGAATACCAGAGAGAGACCAGAGAGAGACCAGAGAGAGACCAGAGAAAGACCAGAGAGAGAGACCAGAGAGAGACCAGAGAGAGACCAGAGAATGAGACCAGAGAGAGACCAGAGAGAGAGACCAGAGAGAGACCAGAGAAAGACCAGAGAGAGAGACCAGAGAGAGACCAGAGAGAGACCAGAGAGAGACCAGAGAGAGACCAGAGAGAGAAATCAGAGAGAGAGCAGAGAGAGAGCAGAGAGCGACCAGAGAAAGGGAAGTTCTACTGATAGATTCACCAATACTTGTCAAGTCCATTTTCCAGATACGCTGTGTATCCGGCCCTTTCTCTCCTCTGGACTCTCTTTCTCTCCTCTGGACTCCCTTTCGCTCCTCCTTCACCTGACGTAGTTTGTAGTTTGAGATTTAAAGTTTCTGTTTGTTAAAAATGTGCCTTTTTCCCTGCGTTCCCGACCCTCTCTACCTGCCCCCACTAATCCCCCTCCTCCCTCACCCCCTCCCTCGCCCCCTCCCTCACCCCCTCCCTCACCCGCTCTCTGCTCCTGTCTGAACTTGGTTGGGACTTACTTTATATCCTCGCACACCGGGGACCGATGCTGGGAGATAGACCCGCCTTAGCCGAGCCTCCAGATCCCAGCGCTAATAACATCCAAACTTTCTCTTCTTTTTTTTGGGAGGGAGGGGAGGGGAGGGGGGAGATAAAACTGTCACACGGAGCGCTTGGAGAGAGCCACAAATCCGCTCCCAGCTCCAGCGGCATTACAGACTTTCACTGTGTTTTTAAAATGGGTTTTTGTATCGTGTTGGGGAGTTACTACGGTGTCAGGGTGTCATCAAGCTTGATTTGGGAAGAATTCGGAAAGAGAGAGCGCTCCCATGAGATCGAGGTGAATAGCTTTTGATCGACTGAATGGAGCTCTGGGTAGAGACGCTGCTCCTCCACGATTGAGATTGGTTTGAGTAGATTTCAAAACAGTATCTGCCATGTTCCATTTCAAGCCCAGAAGCATTTACTTTGTTCAAGATAGAAAGACAGATTGTTGTTGCCGAGCAGTAAAACTACAGATTTTATGTTTATACACATGACTTACAACAAGCCCTTAAAGCTGGGGTACCCCACTTTTTGGTTCATAAATAAAACATGTTAATCCAAACGGAGTCTTGGAAACAAAACATTTGGTGAATTAATCAGACCACAAAACGCTATAGTAGCAGTAGTAGTAGAAGTAGTTGTGGTTGTGGCAGTAGTAGTAATATAAAGGACGTAGAAATTAGACCAGTACCCGCGTTAGTAGTGGTAGTAGCAGTAATAGTAGTAGTAACAGTAGCAGAAGTAGCAGTTGTGCATAGTAGTGGTAGTATAGTAGGAGAGCAATAATTGTAGTACAATAGTAGTAGTAGTATTAGTAGTTGTAGAAGTAGCAGTAATATTAGTAGTGTGCAGTAGTGGCAGTATAGCAGCAGTAGCAATGACAGTAGCAGTAATATTAGTAGTAGTGTGTTTGAAGCAGCAGTGCTAGTAGTAGTAGTAGTAGTAGTAGTAGAAATTATAGTAGTAGTAATAGTAGTAGTATTAGTTGAAATATTAGTAGTAGTGTGTTTGAAGCAGCAGTGCTAGTAGTAGTAGTAGTATTAGTTGAAATATTAGTAGTAGTATAGTTCTAATAATGTATGTACAAAAGACAAAAAGAGCTTTAAAAAGGATTAAAAAAAAAAAAAAAACTTCTTAAAATGGCGGCAGAGGCCCCTGTGAGTCACTATTTGACCCTTTGGGCAGAGTGAGGGTCTTTTCTGTTTCACTTTTCCGTCTGAAAAATTGGATCTAAAGTTACTAAACTAAAACTAATGCAGTGAAAACCAGAGATAGAACCAAACTGCGGCGAGTTAGTGCAATTTTTATCATACAGAAACAAAAGAATTAAAAACCAATAAAATTAGTGCAGAATTGTCTAAAATCAACACATTTATCTTTATATTCAGTCTGGAAGTGCCGAGCAGTTCTCCTCAAAGGTCAGCGGAGATCTGGAGAGAGCGGAAATTTAATCCCCTTCTTTTGGCTCCGATGAATTAATTATAACATTAGGCGGAGCTCTAGGGGCCCGCGCTGCTGTGATTAAGTGAGCACATATAGTTTAAAAGAGTGGCTCTGTCTCGGGGGCCGCGGGCTCCTGAACCACACACAGATGTATTAAACATGAGAGGACAGAGGGACGCGGGCCCCTAACCCCACGGCAGCGGCGGACACTTCACCGTGGATTCAAACGCATTACTGAGTGTCTGGGTTTGGGAAAATGTTATGTACAGTACTTTCACCACAGCAGAACATGAAGAGAAACAACAAATACACATATAAGCTGCACCTG